GGGCGAGAGTCACGTCGCGGGCTCCTCCGCTGGCCGTGGCGTTTCCTCCCGGGACCCCACGCCTTCCTCCGGACATCCGGCTCCTGGCGAGGAGCGGTAGCAGACACCGCTGCGGTCGCTGGCATGGGGTTAACCCTCCGTTGGGAAGAACCAGGTGCCGATGAGGATCTGGATCTCGCCAGCAACGGGGTGTCCCGGGGCTCGAAATTCGCAGGGTAGGAGGGGGTAGTGACGCTGGGTGTAACTAAAAAGGTGCCATTGTCCGGTGAGGTCCGGTTGGGGAGTTACGGAGGGGTTAGCATTTTTGTAGCATAGTGTAGAAAATCAACACTTTAATTGATACAACCAATAAAATCTTTAGAATGAGCTGTGGGGTGGAGTTTGCACTGAAGTCGATTGGGGGAAAAAAATGCGCATGCGTGTCATGTGCCTGTCCATAGCAGACACCGCTGCGGTCGCTGGCATGGGGTTAACCCTCCGTTGGGAAGAACCAGGTGCCGATGAGGATCTGGATCTCGCCGTCTGCTGCTGGAAAGTGCGCCTCGGCATCACGTGACTCATGGCTTTGGCGCACTTTTGAGCCTCCGCGAAGCGCTCAATAATGCAAGTAGATATAACTGCAGACTGGAGATTTCCAAAATGGGGCGTGAACTCTAAAAGTGGGCAGAACCTCCAAAATGGGGCGGGGTCTCCACACGCTGGGTGTAACTAAAAAGGTGCCATTGTCCGGTGAGGTCCGGTTGGGGAGTTACGGAGGGGTTAGCATTTTTGTAGCATAGTGTAGAAAATCAACACTTTAATTGATACAACCAATAAAATCTTTAGAATGAGCTGTGGGGTGGAGTTTGCACTGAAGTCGATTGGGGGAAAAAAATGCGCATGCGTGTCATGTGCCTGTCCATCAATGGGAGGAAGCCACGCCCTATTTTGGAGCTCCCATCCCGTTTTGGAGTTCCCCCTTCTCAAATTCGTAGGAATTCGTATGAATGACCACCCCTAACCCCGCCCCTAAACCTACCCCTCACAGAAAACGTACGAAATTGTATGATTTAGCCACCTCATAAAATACAGTATGTACGAATTGCTGTGAGATCAGGCTGGTACGTAATGTACAAAGTTGTACACTTAAAGGTACTCTCCCAGGAACACTGTTGTAACCCTAGAGAAGGTGTATATTAGTACCTTCGAGTAACCTTTTAGGGGTAAATAAAGTTGTCCCTTTAAGGGTACTGCCCCAGTGACAAGTTGTTGTACCTCTAAATGTACAGTTTTTGCAAGAGCATAGAAACCACAGGATATGCATTTTACATAGCATTATCTGGCCATGATCTGACAGTTTTGGAATCTATCTGCTGATGAAAATCTTGCTTTAATACAAAAAAATGTAAATGTAAACTGTCTGTTCACATAAGGTGTATGGGCAAGTTATGGACACTACCCCACTGAAAAGACCAGGTCAGACAGGTACGCAGAACTTTGACCAGCAGTCTTTCTGGTGAAACTAGTTGACCAAAAACATCTCGCTGGTTAAGCTAGTTATGAAGCCTGTACATTAGCATCCAATGTTGGGGACAGATCAGATACAATAAAACTGAGTACTGACTTGTTTTGAGAAGGAGTCCTCTAGGTGGGTGTATTCCGGTCGTGATGGGGAGCTTGGCTCTGTGGTGCAGGTTGGAGAATGCGGAGGACCCATTCCTGGACTGTGACTGTAGTGAGTCTGTGTGGGAGGTTGAGGCTGTCGGTCATCAAACGAGTACTGCAGTCGCATGTTGGAAAGGATGATGCGCCGTGTCATGCGGCTCTCAGAAGCTGAGCTGCGCAGGCGCTCAAAGTTCTTGTTCATGCGATATTGACGGAATGCTGTCTGGATGGTACGTGCTGCTCGTCTACTCACGAAGTAACCCCCATATTTCTTCTCCAGCATCTCCACCTGCACAGTAAAACCTTCATCAGTTATATTTGCTTCAATAGATTGTGATCATGATGAATCATGATTCTTTTTTTTGCATGCCTTACCTTCTTGTCTTGTAGGTCTGTAGAGAGTTCATAACTGTCTGATAGGGCTTTGCACCTCTTGTTCTCTTCTTCCTCTTGCTTACGTAGGGCCAGGCTAGCTGGCTGGTTGCGTGTACGCTGTGCCCAGGCGAGGCTGGCTGGGCTTGGAGGGGGCACAAAAGGCACCCGAGGGCCTGGGGGGCCACAGCTGTTGTCCCCGTAATGGTCAGAGCTGTGCACGTAAGGAGATTTACTGCTGGAACTGTCTGAAAAAGGACGTGAAGCTGAACTCTGGGTTTCCTCCTCACTGAAAGGGGTGGGTGAGAGAGAGAGAGAGAGAGAGGGGAAAAGAGAGAGGAGAGAGAGATAATAATTCTGAGAAATGAGTCTAAAACTCCCCCATAATGAGAGGATAAGATAAAAATCTCAAGCAACTCAGGAATTCATGACATTATTTATTTCCCACTGACTTAGCATTTTGACTTTCAGGAAAGCTTTAAACAGGGCAAATGTCCTAAACAAGCCTCAGGCTTTCCCAGAATTATCACACCAAGACAATTAGAACAATTCTAGTTATAATTAAGATTTGTAACTGGAGAGAGTTACGCAAGTCTATGCCTTAATAAGAGCTTGGTTTCCTTTATCAAAGATCATAGTTTATATTTAAACAATCTATTAAAACTCAAAAATTCATCAGTATGTACTATCAGAAACTTGAAATGCAGTAGTGAATTTCCTGTCAAATCAACTTCTGTTTTTGACTCCTGTACCTTTCATGTGAGAAGTTTTGCCATGTGCATTGCACATCTGTGGCATCATATCCAACCTGCTTTCACCTCATCTCTATACTACTGACACGTCCTCATATTCTGTTCCCCACACAACAGCTCTCATCCTTAATGACTTGTAGTCTTCCGCTGCCATAAGTGACTCACTTATCCTCCAGGGTACTATCAGAGCAAGAGTTTGATTGATACACATACCGCCAAACATACGCAGCACACATAATGACATCAATTATGCAATCTCACTCAAGGGCCTTTATACCAAAATATAACTTGAAATAGATTCCTATGTTTTTTGAAGAAAATGCAAGTGGTGTTTTCCAGTCTAAAACTCACCATCATGACACTAAGGTGCTTTATGTTACCAGAGCATTGCTTTGTGGTGGCATAACAATGGTTGTTAGCACATTGCTATGTGGTTGCTAGTATTCTGTTTGATTGCTAGGGTATTGCTAGGATGTTCTAGGTTGTTGCTATGCCTGCTTATGACGTTCACTTGATATGGCTTACATCCTGTCAATTCAATGTAATTTAATGTTTTTTCCCCCCCAGTTGCTTGGAAAAGTAATAACATACTTCTCCTCAGCAATCCACACAAATTGAGGTACCATTTATGCACAAACAAGTTACACACTGACGTTTAATACTTTGTGTTAGAGTCTGCAAACACCACTGCATAAGAAATTACAGAATAAGAACAAACAGACTATTGACACAGGAGCTCAGTTTACAGGGTCAGTCACCCCAGTGCAGAGGCGTTGACCCTTAGGTTTGCCATGGGAAACACAACAACATGTGATCTGAACTCATATTCCTGACACAGCTTTCTGACAGGACAGTGTGTGGGTACTTCTGAATCACTGCAGGCAACTTCCTGTTCTGTATGACTAAGTCAGAGGAGGTTATTGAAGGCAAGATATTATCATATAATGCTAATGTACTGCAATTCAGACGTCTTACGAAACTATTCTCATTTTGGTTAAATGATTTTTCACTCTCTCAAACCCACACAAAGACACTTACTTGCATGCATACAATCTTTCTTTTGCTGTTTATCACGTGTAACAACAGGTAACCACTACACACCTGTCCAGAAAGGGCCAGTTTGTACAAAAGCAAAATACCCTCCTTTTGTCCTCTATTGTATGTAGGAAAACAGAAACCTAACAGGCTTATAACACAACAGCAGATGTTAGGGTTAAATAAAAAAGGAAACTTTAACTGTACACTTACCACATTTACTAGAAAGACCCAAATAGTTGCATAAACCCATGCACATGAACATCCACCCTGAGAGCGAAAGGGAGGTTTCGCTTCCTACAAGTTCAAATTTGGCAAGGAGTCGCTGAAACCTCCTGGAATTCACCAAATGCTGAACTTTGTGGCTTTAGAGTCGTTCTGCAGTTATGACCGACTGTCAGGAGGTCACCACCACATAGTCACATGGCAGTGCTTAAACCCTCCCTCCTCCTATTCTCTCTCCCTCCCTTTATTTACATTACACAAAGTGCGCTGGTGTAGTTCACTGAAGTCAGTAGCTCGGAAAGAGTGAGCGGATGTGTCACTGAGGCTGGAGTTTCTGGCCAATCAGCTTTAGGATCTCCTGCAATGCTTGTATTTATCATCTTCTTCATATTCTAGAATAGTTTTTCACACAGGTGTGTGTGTTAATTGTATATGATGGTCATAAAAAGCGGTGTCTCTCTCTCTGTTGTGCTGGTCAGTTGTATTTTCCACCCCTAATATGGGTGATTTCCTGTATTTGTATGGAGTGGACAAAAGATTGAAGGGGGAAGGAAGATACAGCTGTACCCATAGGAAAGCTAAATCATAAATGAGACCTCTTTAATGTCTTAATTGTGTCTCCTAGTTGCAATGAGATCAAATAAGAACCAGCTTTTAAGATTTTTTTCTCTTGAGAAAAACACCCCAGTAATTTTGCATTTAAGAAGAAATGCCAGAAATGTCTCAAATTGTGTTCATATTTGTCCAAATGAATCAGGCTGCAAAGAAATTTAAACAAAAACTCAAACATTTCTCATATTTATAATCATCTAAGCCAAGCAATAAAAACTAATTTTATAGCATTCACTTTAGAACAAGAATCATCGCATTAGTATCTTTATATTTTAGGAGAAACACCTGAGACAAAACTGATGCTTAAATGAGCTGAGTTCTTAGTTTCATTTAAATCTCTTGAAATATCATAGAGCAATATCATTTTCCTCTGGGTACTTCAAAGTAAGTTTAAAAAAAAAGTAAGTCCTTAAATAAAGGACCAAACAGTTGCAAATGTATTCCAATATTTCCAATAATCAGATAAGATCATTGTTTATTTAATGAATAATTTCATAAAAAATTAATTTAGGTGCATTTTTCTTATTTTGCAAATTATCTGCCAATTAAATGAAAAATTACAAATATTCTTGTTCCCGTTTGCATTCATATTATTTTTCTTACCCTATGGCGGATTTTACATGTTTTACTTCAAATGCACTTGTTTCCCCCAAGATTCCTTTTTCATCTATAAAAAATGCATCTTAACTTAAGAATTAGATATTTGTACTTGAATAAGACATAAATAACCAGTAAGAAAAAATTTTTTGCAGCGTGAATGAATGAATGAATGAATGAGGTAACGTTATTTAAACACTGCTTACGCTTTAAAAAGGAGGAGGAGACCAAAAGAAACTCTGGGTTTACCGAAGAAAACCTGGGGTGTATTCCAGAAAGCACAGTTAACTTACCATCTGTTAAACCCCGAACTCTCGGTTGATTAACCCCAAACCTTGCTTACTCGAGGTATGTGGTTCCAAAAACGCGTCCGGGAGTAAGTTCATTCAACACAGAGTATGTTCCTGATTAATACTCAAGACATTCTCAACAGAGCGACGAATCGACGAGTCGCTATGGAAACGGACGCTAAGAAAAAGCACGCCATGCTGTTTCTTTCTTCTTT